TCTGTCCAGCTGCCTCCAGGATGCACCTTGCAACATCTATTCCCACGCGTATTCACAGGCCTCCTTTCTTCTTCATGTCTCAGTTTCTACCATGTTCCAGACAGCTAATATGGCCAGCAATCTGGCTGCTGGAAAGAATATGCATAGCGTTGAGTCAGATGTCGAAATTTAACTTACAGCGAAGGGCGTAAGCAGTAAGATGTTTTCACTCCTTCTTACTTAATGCTTTACTCTGGCCTTTCCAAATTTCCTAAAATGAATGCCATTCATGTGCATATAAGGACAGGCAGGCCTCTGTGGCACATGTGGTCCTGCTGGACCAGAGGATGGGCATCCCATGCACGGCTGTTCCAGGTGGGACCCAGTGCACTGAGCACAGGGCTACTTTCTTTTCCTACTGTTTTTATGCTGAAATACAAGTAATATGAAATTTACCACATATAACCACTTTTAAGCATACAGTTTTCCACATCTGGAGAGATTGTAACTTATCGAGACTGTCTTAGGGATGCTTGTTCAAAGGAACTACCAAATGGTCTCTGGCTCAGGCCACTGGATAAACACTGCTCTGCACGCTCTTACACATATGCAGTCCTCCGAGAGGGTACTGATCTTATTCTTGCACCAGAGGAGTCACTTTGGGAGCTGAGATCCAAAGACCCTTCAGTGTCTTCAGTGAGTGTCCATCAGGGCTCCTCCTCCTCTACCACGTCCTCAACCAGATGTCCCTCTTGCCACGTCTGATGGCCACCGACCATGGATACTATTTCCAACAGTGCTGGTATCACAAATGAAGTGAAACGGTCCGGCCAAGGAAGCAGCTATTCTTTTCACCCGCTGGGACAGTGCTCTGGCCTGTGGCTACAGCAACACAGACCGCACAGCCACCAGCCTCCTTGCGTGGCATCTTCCGTTAAAGCAGCAATGAATGGCTCTGTGTTTCCCCACTCCACCGCAACCAACCGATTTCTTACGGTGTCTCTTCTAAAGAAGATCATTGCCGGAAGACCACAAGGGCCTGCACAAGGAGGTGCTCTGGGCCGTGAGGTGTGTGCTGGGTCGGTCACGGACATTTGGTGAAGGTCCTCCATGAGCCGGGATCCAGCCTGCTGTTGACCTGTTTCTGCCAGGTCAACAGAGCTGAATTTATCCAATGTCCCTTCCACATCAGTGGCCCGACCATTAGATCATTCACTTTAGCCCAATGGCTTTATGGACACAGGTGAATTATGACTGGTGGACAGGGTGGGTGGTGGTGCATGAAAAAGAAATCCTTGGAGAATCCTTGGAAAAGGGGAGCTGAGGTCTCACTTCACTCTGCCTTTCACTCCCATTGGAGCTTGGTCATGCAATCTTCACTGGTCTTAGACTATCTCTCGGTTTTAAGTCATGAGACTGGAGGCATGGGGTCTACAGACCTTTTAGATTGAAAGTTCTGAAGTCCAGGAAACCCATATCCTGCAAGAACGTAGTCACTAAGGCATGGCCTCTCGTTTGAGATTCTTCAAAAAATAGCCTTACTCTCAATCTGTGCTTGCTAATTAGAGATTCTAATGAATGCCTAGCTAATCTGCCTGCTCTGGGTGAAGGAGCTTGTTTCCCTGCTGAGAAAAACCTTTGGCTTATAACTGGTGTCCCACTTCCTGACCATATTTGTTTGTTAGGTCTGGGCTGGGGTATTGGGGAATGGGATGAACGTCTTCAGAGCAGGGCAGTCATCTCTTCACGACGTTATAGAGAACACAGAGAACTGCTGACCACACCCCACATCACCAATGAGGATCCATAGCGGCAGTGCATAATGTTACCAGTTATTGCACATTCAGCAAAGAGTTCAAAATAGACAACTTTGTTCCAAACACCATTCTTGGCACAAGCAACTTAGCGGTGGATAGACATGGAAAGCCCCTGCCCCTGCAGATCTAACAAAACAGCAGGGGAAGAGGAAATACGCTGTAATTAGGCACCAAAGATGCTTCCAGGCAATGACAAATGCTGCAAAGTAAATACACAGAAAATGAGAAGGAGTTCATTGCTGAGGGTTCTCTAGGAGGGAGGAGTCCAGGCCACAATTCAGGACTAAGGCCTGAACGGTGTAAGAACCACCAGCCACATGCAGAGCTGGAAGGCTGCAGTAGAGCATGCCAGGCTGAGGAAACAGCCCACGCAAAGGCCCATGGCTTGAGGTGTTGGGGGTAACCAGCAGGCCAGTGTGATCAAGGCGAAGCGGGGTGTGCAGACAGAAAACAGCACGAGAAGTGAGGACATAGGCTAGGCCGCACAGACAGCACCCCAAAACCCAGGAGTAGCTTGGGGTTTGTTCAAAATTCCACGGAAGGCAATGATCATTTATTTTTATTTTACTTTTAGAGGTGAGGTCTTGCTGTGTTGCCCAGGCTGAACTCAAACACTTGATCCTCCTGCCTCAGCCCCCCAAGTAGCACGAAGTATAGGGGTGCACCGCCGCAAATGGCTCCTTGGGAGTTTCAAGCAGAAGAAGGCTTGGTGTGACACAGGTTTTGAGACGTGAAATGGCTCCTCTGTGGAAAACAGCTTATACAGGGAGAAACTGAGCACAGGAAGTATTTGCAGCAGTCTCTGCCCAAAGATCGTAGTGGCTTGGACTAGGAGGGTGAAGGGAGAGAGGGAGGCGGAGTAGACTCTGACATAGGCCAGAAGACAGACTGCAGGGCCAAAGGGTGGGACAGGGGGCATCAGAAAAAAAGGAGGGGGAAAAAAAGGAATAAAAGACAATCTCTAGGTGTTAGGCCCAAACTCTTGGGCACTGGCTGCAACGCACTGACCTAGGCAGTAGTGGAGTAGGAGAGGTTTTTTTGGAAAGCCACAGGGGAAGCAAGTTCTTTAAAATGTATCTAATAGCCGGGCTCGGTGGCTCAGCCTGTCATCCCGCGCCTTGGGAGGCCGAGGTGAGTGGACTGCCCGAGCCCGCGGGTTCGAGACCCGCCTGGGCAACTTGGCGAGACCTCATCTCTAAAAAAAAAAAAAAAAATCATCTAATAAATAGGTTGGGAAATCAATACTTTCTTCATAAAAAACTGAGATCTGAGACATCCATGGGAGAATGTAGGTGTCCAGTGAGAAACTGAATCTATCAGCCTAAAGTGCAGGGGAAGCAGAGGCTTGGGATGGAACTGGAACCAGGTACGGTCTAGAGTGAGAACACATGGGACATTGAAGAGGCAGGAGGAGCCGAGGTTTTAGAGACCTCCATGAGGAGCACCACCCGTAGTGCAAAGACACCCCCCCAAGAGAGGAGTACCAGCAGAGGATGGTTCCCAAAGAGTCAGGAAAGATAGGGCTTCCAGAAGGAAGGGGGGGACATCTGAGCCTTCAGGAAACAGCTAATGCCACCCAGCAGCAGAGGGGACACTGCATTGTATCAACACACATGAATGAATGCTGCACAAAAATGACTGTCTTACACCTCAGCAGGAATGACTTTTAAGGAAGCACATATTTGACCAAAAAGGCAATTGCAGAAGAATGCACACACTATGTTCACATTTACATAAGATTCAAGAAGGTCTAAACTATGCCATGTATTGTCCAGAGATAATGCATATGCATGCGGTAAACAAATTTTTAAAAACAGCAAAGGAATGACTGACACAGACCCAGGAAACCAGAAAGCTACAGGGTGGTCGGGAGGCAAAACTCCTAGGAGGGCCGGAGAACTGGCAACGCTGACTTTCTTAGGCTCCGGGGAGGCATTGGGCATCCATTGTATTATCATTCTTTATATTTGACATAAACTTATACATGCTTGTAGATACACGATATACTCCCAGGGTTTCTTTTCCGAGAAAGAGTGAATTGGAGCTAACAGTGGAGACGGCTAACGTCAATAAACATCGGGTGTTTCTCAGGGAAGGTAGCAGGAAAGTGAGCACCTCAGCGGGGATACAGGCAGGTGAAAGGCTTATCCTTTTCTGGATGGGGACCTAAATGTTTCTGCAAGAAGTGATTCCGTGTGAAAGTAGTTCTCCCCCAAGCACCCCCCCCCAACAAAGAGACCTCCCCTTGGAAAGATCCACACCTAACGTGCCTAAATATAATGGTGGCAGCTTGGCTATTTGTACGTGCACTCTTAACATGAGTTCAGGTGTCGTGTATAATACACTAAACAAGTCTATTGTATTGGGAAGTCACTACTTCCTTTACAGAAAATTGAGGTTTGAGATATCCACCACAGAGTGTAGGTGCCCAGTAAGAAACTTGATTTATTTACCTCAAGCTCCAGGGGAAGCAGAGGCTGGAGAGAGAATTGAAACCAGTTATGATCTAGGGTGAGAACGCATGGGATACTGAAGAGAAGAGGAGCTGGGATTTTAGAATTTGTTTAAATCCAATAAGTTTTCGGCTAAAGGCAGCTCAATCCCTCCATTAGAAGTGAATATGTCTTTCTCACAGAAGCCGACTGAGTTCCAGGCAATTCGAGGCATAAGTAATTATGTCGTTACAGTATTTTTATCTCTGAAAATCTTGAAAATGCTAATATGTATTATGACATTTTTGATTATAGTGGAGGAGGAAACAATCCCTGGATGACAGAAAAAAAGAAGAAAAGGCTTATCCCCAAATGGCTGAATTATTGTTGTTAGGGAACCTGTTTTCACATCTGCACATTTCGCTAATGAGGGGAGCCGGCAGCCACATGAAAGGCTGTGTGGTAGAATTCTGGCTTGGAGACTTTCTGACTTGTTATGTAGCTTGGCTGGCAAGTTACCGACTGAACAGAAAAAAAGTCACTTCCCAGCTGTTCCGTGGCAGGACAAAATGTTAAATCTAAACCATTAAATAGTTCTGGAAGCAAAAGAACAGGTGGTGAATGGCTTCCAAGGCAGATGGCCCTTTTTAATATTGGTATTTGATAGTAATCTGCCCTACCAGAGACCGGAGACACACACACGTCTTTCACCTTATCACCTGAATGCTTAAGAAACGGTAGGCCAAGTTTTAAAAATTGATGGCCTCATTCTTCAAGGATTTTTGCGTTCCATCACAGAGGGGCAAGCGCTGGGGCCCAGCCGCATCACACCCCCAGGACCAGGGGCCGTCTCCCCTCCTGGTGTACCGCTGAGAACAGCTGCAGAGTGACTGCAGGTGGGGTCACTCAGTCCTGGAGCACTCCAGGAAGGCACTTCTGTTTTCTTCGGCAAAGCCTTCTATGTGTCTTTCATTCTGCCCTTGATAAAACAGCATGTGCTCCTTGAAAACGTGAAGGAACAGTGGAAAGGAGGTGAACCGTGCTAGTTGAAACCTACTTGAAGGAAAGAAACAGGGGGATATTCCTCTCCGTTCACCCTTCTTTAACTGCTCCTTTCAAGCCCACACGTCAAGGGGCCATTGTTATGGCACTGGGGGAAGAGGGGCACCCCTTTGACCAGAGGAAACATCTCCAGGTAAACCCTGCCCTGCATCTTCAACTTTCCTCTACTGCAACCTCTGATCCAGGAGCAGATTCGCAAGAAACAGCCTTAGAAATTATGTGCCGGCTGGGTCTGGTGGTTCGGCCAGTCCTCCCAGCACTTTGGGAGGCTGAGGCGAGTGGATTGCCTGAGCCCAGGGGTTCAAGACCAGCCCGGGCAACCTGGCAAGACCTCGTCTCTACAATAATAATAATATAAAAAAAGTAGCTGGGCACGGTAGTGTGCGCACCTGTAGTTCCGGCTTCTTGGAAGGCTGAGGCAGAAGGATTGCTGGAGCTCAGTAGTTTGATGCTGGGGTGGCCATGAGCATGCCACTGCCCTCCAGCCTGGGAGACAAAGAGTGAGACTCCAACTCAAAAAAAAAAAAGAAAGAAAGAAATTATGTGCCTAATTAAAGCAGGTTGCACTCAAGTTAGCCACACACAGCACACAGAGCAGGCCCCAAGTCAAGAACCACTGACTTTGAGTTGGGTGCATATAACCAGCAGTTCAACAAATGTGTGCCCACTGCAGGTGGCAAGCACAGAAAAACAGAGCCCTCTGCGGGGACTGACAACCTGGGAGAGGAACAGGCTTGTAAACAGGCGAAGACAGACAGGACGCCAGGGGAACCCTTCCTGTGGAAGAGTGCAGGGACCAGCTCTGTTGCCCATGCCAACAGCACCCTGAGAGAGCAGCTTAGTTTATGACTGAATCTGGCCCTGGCCGTGAGCCTCTATATATATCCTGTGGCATCTTATTTAAACTCTACATCTCATAAAGTCCCATAAGCGTATCCTTAGGGCTGCATCTCCACTCCAACCCAGAGCTTTCTTCCTACAGGTTCCTGCAGTTACTAGAACACTAACTCTCCCCAGGCAAGTTTACGCATGTCCCTGTACAGGTTTCCAGGTGTATTTAGTGGAGTTCTAGTAATAGGAACCAGGCTTTCTTTTTTTGTTTGTTTTTGATTTGGAGTCTCACTCTGTCGCCCAGACTGGATTGCATTAGCATGTTCACAGCCACTGCAGCCTCGACCTTCTGGGCTCAGGTTGAGCCTTCTGCTTCAACCTTCCAAGTAGCTGTAACTACAGGCATGCGCCATCATGCCTGGCTATTATTTTTATTTAACGTAGAGACGAAGTCTCGCTAAGTTGCCCAGGTTGGTCTCAAACCCGTGGGCTCAGGCAATCCTCTCACCTCGGCCTCCCAAAGCCTCCCAAAGTGCTGGGATTACAGGCATGAGTCACTGCGCCTGCACCGAACCGGGCTTTCCTGACAGAGCCACTACTAACGTTTTGGGCCAGCTCATCCTTTCTCAAGGTGGCTGCCCTGGGGGTTGCAGGATGGTGGCATCATCCCTGGCTTCTACCCACCAGATCCCAGTAACAACCCTCAAGTTGTGACCACTACAAACTGTCCGGAGCCTGGCCAAACAACCCTGAGGTAGACATGGGGCACAAAATTGTCTTCAGTTGGAAACCCGTCCACCTAAACCATGTGGGGCCTCTGAGGTAATTCGAACTTCATAACCAAGCCAAGAGTGTGAATGAAACAGGCAAACTTACATTTAAAAGGCAAATTATCTTCCAAATCAAAGAGGGATGATCCATGTGCAGACACATGGAAGCTCACATGCCTTTAGAAAATCAATCCGCACGTGGAATACACTCCCCAGGGAGGCGTGTTTTTCTGAGTCTGCCAAAGCCTGTTTTGCTGCTGACAGCCCTCGATCTCCTCTCCCTAAGGCGGGAGCTATTTGCCCCGCTCAGCCCAGATGTCTCATCCTTTCTCACCCCTTCCTAGACCATCTATTCTAAAGTGTGTCCAAAGTTTCCTAGAGGGCTCTCTGGGTGTTCACTGAGACGGTGCCTCCCTACAAGCCACGCCTCAATCCCACTCATTCCAGGGGCTCCTGCCATGGTTGGGAAACCGCCTGCAACAGCCCTGACAGGAAGTTCTCCATCGCTAACATCCTGTAAGCTGTAAGCTTTGGTTTGCAAAACGCACTCTGGGAAAATTGCAAAAACTTTTCTCTACGGGCACAGCCAGCCTCCCTAAAAGTCTAGAGGAGAGAGTCTAGGCAGCCCTTCTAGAAGCCACACCTCCCGACAAGCCCCCTCACTAGGGGCACCCTGGTAGAGCCGCACACACCCGTGAAGTCCGGGACTGGCCAGTCTGGTTCACAGCTGAGACCTCGCCACGGGTCCCGACTCCGCGCCCGGCCGCATGTCAACTTAGACCTCCACCCTCTCCTAGAGGACAGAGTTTTCAGGCCAAGTGGGTCGATGCCAATGCTGGAAAGGCAATTTTAGAAGCTACCTTTTGAGTCACACCCCTCTTGTCTTTGTGTCGACCTGTTTGGCGGTTATCTACAAGACAGGCCATGTGGATGCATGTCTTTTTCTAACTGAATGCACATTATGGCAAATTTGATTATGGAGCCTTATAAGATGCAAACACAGAGAGATGCCTAATTATTATGTCACTCTATAAATCATATAGAAACAAGGAAAGTGAAGCCACCCTGGGGGACACAGTCTGGGCTCTAAGATTAATTTTTTCAGAAAATAGTAAGTCACCCTTAATGGGCTGATGAATTCTAACCAGATCTTGACACAGTTGTAATTTATGCTCCCACATGTATTATAGAAATAAATATTACCCATGTTTTATTTCCTCCACCACACCCTAAATGTATTTTACTGACATGTGGAAACAGAAAGAAGTTTTTGATCTTGAGAATACATCTTACTTATCAACGGGTTCATCAAGCTGATAGAGAAACAGAGAATGCCAAAGTCCCATTGTTGAAAAGGGCCAGAAACAAAGCCAACAAAAGAAAAGCACACCCCAAAATTGGAAAGTTGTCAAACTAGGCTATTTTTCTACCGACCGTGAACCAGGACACATATATCTATATATGTGCTTGTGTATCACAATCTAGTGAAATGTTTCCTACTACTAATAATCTAGCAGCTGATGATGTTAATACTGTCTTCCATGGAATTTCTATTCAAATTTTACTATCGCACATAAAAAACCAAAACCAAAATAACAGTGCCAACTCACAAGAATTGAGGGTTCATTCCAAATGAATGTTACTACTGCTGTTTGGAAAAACCAGCATTTCGTAAGGGTGCTTGGGACCCGTGAGTTCCGGTCACAGTTAATAGACATGGATAGCTGTGAACATAATGGATAGCTGTGAACATAATGAGCAACAGAGCCCCAGCCAGCCCAGGACCCTAGGCCTTCCATGTTCTCAAACCCCTCAGAGAGGCATCTCACCACCTCTCAGAATACACCAACAATTTCCAGCCTGGCCCTGGCCTGACAACATTCAAGAAAGGAAGCACACCCATGGCTTTTGTGAACTCAGCTGTCTTTGTGGTCATCCACTCAGCCCTCCCAGGGTTGGGGAGATCCCAGCCTGTTTGCAGCCATGTGTCCAGTTGGCAATCTGGGCAGAGACCTGGGGGAGCAGCCCAAGACCTCAGGCTCCTTTCCGGCACACCACCCATGTTTCCGCCACGCTCCACACGAGAAAATCACAACCTCCTGGGGTCTTTCACTCCCAGGCACGTGCATTACTCCCACTAAATTAGAGTCAGTGAAGTCTCACTTTCTCAAAGGGAAACTTTCATGCTGCCTTTAGGGCAGAAGGTGCCAGGGTGGACTGAACAATGCCTGGCTCGGTAGAATCAGGTGCACGTGCGTGGTTTGGAGTTGAGCAAACCCCATCTGATCTCGATCGAACGTCCCTCCCCAGAGCTGGACTTGACCCCACAGTGTGTGAACCGGGGCCATAGCAGCTGACAGGGGATCTGGCTGGGGATGCCGGGGCTGTGCTGGGCATCGATGCCATGGCCTGGGCCTACCTGAGAAGCGGGCCGCCCGGAGGGGTATTTTGATGGGTGCCAACGTCAGGAAGTGGCACGGCTGCACACTGGAGGGCGACGGGCCCCGGAGGCCCTCGGGATCCACAGAGACCATGGCGGCGGCTGCCGCGGCAGCGGCCGTGGCAATGGCGATGGTGGGGCCGCTGCTGATCGGCTTAAGGCTGTGATGGCAACCACCTGCAGGAGAAGGACAGGAGGGTCAGTGCGGGGACACTGGAGCCCCAAGGTGACAGACGCCATCTCACGATGTCAAAACACCAGCCCCAGAAAAAAAGAGTGGAGAGAATGTGCTAACTCTTTTAAAGGAAGCCCACGCTGTGAGCACCATCCTTCAAAAAGAGTGTGTCGATTTCTCCCTCTGTCAAATGCTGATATGCACCGAGTACACACTCGTGGCCACAGAGCTTACTCTCACCAGGGGCTGAGCCATGACCTGTGCACTTCAAAGACAGACGGCTTTGCTGCAGTTCGCATGTGTCATGTATAGAATCAGAAGTGATCACTGGCAATGACAATGACTCGGAGCAATCACCGGTGAAGACCAAGGAGCAGCACATGCGACCTGGCAGGGGGCTCGCAGGCAGGGGCAGCTGCAGGCTGGGTGGAGCGGGGTTTCCAGGGAGCACAGGGCCGGGCTTGTCTCCACTGCAGTGGAGAGACCAACCCCTATCTCAGCATGGCTCATCCCTTAAGAGGACCCAGGTTCCAGGTGCGGTGTCTGGCTTGTCTTTGCTGGCATGAAGAGAAGCATGTGAACGTTTGTTTCCTGCGATGCCTTATCCGTAAGTTTTGTTTCTTTTAACAGAATTCTCGGTTTTCCAAATAAGTGTGAATTTTAGAAAATATTTTGTAGGCATCATTTTACATGGATAGTGGAAGATTGATTTGGCCAGATCTGGACAGCAATTTGGAAATATGTTTTAAAAACCTTAATAGAATTCACAACTCTTGATCTGGCATATTCCCTCCTAGGATTCATCCTCATGTTCAATGTCTCAGGATAAAGGTTTGTCACGAGGCACTGGAAATACCAGCAAAGGGTGAATCGTTCCATGAAGGATGGTGCGTGCGTCAATGGACTGGCAGACAGTATGATCATGTCAAAGGAAAACATCAGTGCCACAGTGGATGGCTCACAGTATGCTAAGTGAGTAAGCAGGTTGAAAATCACATAAATTTCTACACTAGATAAGGGGAGACCCCCCCAAAACGGAATTTTTTTTGAAGGCACGCCCCTTGTAGTACAGGCTTCCCCCACTAGGTAAGTGTTCTAGGAACCCATCGGCACCAGAATACCAGCTAGCATTGTTGTGAGAGGCTGCACTGGGTTTCAGTGAATTTTTTTGCAGATTCTTTCAACGTGTTTGCTCATTTCACGATGGGAGATTGACGAGAGCACCTGTTCAAACCATGCTGAGTGTTCAACAGTCTCTGACCAAAAACAGCATAACCCCCTGTGCCCCAGCCTCTCTCTTCACCCAATCTCACTCAAAGCGGAAACATTTTGCTGAAGTGAAAAAGGTGAAACGAAAAATTGCAGAAGCACTAAAAGGCATCAAAACTGATGAGTTCAAAACTGTTCTGAACGGTGGAAAAAGCATCTCAATAGGGGTGTGGCAACCAACGGAGAGTACTGTGAAGGTGACCGAAGTTTAAACGTGTGAGAATAAATACACAATTTTTTATAAGAGACTCCAAGTATGTTTAGCTTTTTGAGAAACTGCCAACTGTCTTTCGAAGTGGCTGCGCCTTTCTGCATGCCAAGCAATGAACAGAGTTCCTGTTCCACACCCCCACCAGCATTTGGTGTTGGTGTTGTTTGTGTTCTGAATTTTGGTTGCTCCAAAAAGTGTACACTGTAATCTAACTGTTGTCACATACAGACTGAGAGTCAAATAAACTAGCACTATTCAAAACATAGCATCTTATTTAATAATAAAAGCACTATAGAAAATTTATAAGTTAGCGTAAATAGGTGTGTAAAAACGTCCCTGTGGCCTCTTCAATGAAACACTGTCAATCTTTCATTATATTGCGTTTTTCTGGAAGCATGGCCTGGCTGTGTTGGCAATGTATTACGATCACACTGGATACATGATTGTTCTGTGAGATGCTACAAAATAAGCACTTTCAGAAAAAAGAAAAAAAGCACTTCTTTTATCACTAAAATGGCTTGCAAAAGCTTAATGAATAAGCAGAGCCTTGTATTCCAGGGAAGGGCCATGCCACATAAACTTGCCGCATTCCTTTATCTATCTCATCCCAATAGGTGATGACATAACGACATAAACAACTTTTTATAGGTAACGACATAAACACCTGCATGAAAACAAGTTAATATCTGAATTTATTACCACAGGATAGATGTGCAGGGTCCAAACAGGATGAGCATTTCAGAGTGTGCATGTGTCTACTTAATGAGATAATGCTGTGAAAGTTTCAGTGTACTCCAAAGTCCTACACAAACTTATTCAGCATGGCTTCTCCCCTCAGGATGCCCTTTTATTTTTTGAGCTGGAGTCTCACTCTGTTGCCCAGACTGGAGTGCACGCGGCCTCAACCTGCTGGGCTCCGGTGATCCTTCTGCCTCCGCCTTCCAAGTAGCTGGAATTACAGGCATGTGCTATTACGCCTGGCTGATTTTTTGATTTATTGTAGAGATGAGGTCTCGCCAAGTTGCCCAGGTGGGTCTCGAACCCGCGGGCTCAGGCAATCCACTCGCCTCAGCCTCCCAAGGCGTGGGATTACAGGCTGAGCCACCGAGCCCGGCAGGATCTCTTTTTTTTATATTATTCCACTGGAATGGAACCACTGGTCGGCCACGCTCAGTATTGCTGGGAAGTTGTTTTGGTCGCAGCAGGAAGAAGTGGTGTCAGAATGGCCTGGGGGAGTTTTCAAAATCGTTCCAGAAGGAGATTGGGAGACAGGGGCTGTCAACATGCAAAGCCCCTCAGGCCACTGCAACATGTCCCCAACACCACCTGCCAGTGCTCAAGTCCTGCCCAGCCAGGAGCCTTGGCTGGCCTTCCCTGCTAGACGCCTGACGCTCGACCCCACAGGGCCACCCATTCACGGCCAGTAGGATGGACCAGCAGCAACCCGCTGCTGTCCTGGCCACTCTATGGAGCGCGAAAGGCCCATGTGCCGGGAGCCGGCATCAAGCTGGGAGATCAGGCCAGAGGATCAGGCCAGAGCCGTGGGCTCCGAGGCAGGAAAGGAGTTGTGCATGACCACCCACTCACAAGAGGGAAAGGCCTGACCGGGACAGCAGCAGAGAAGAAAGACGCCGCCCTTGTGTTTGGACCCAGATCGGCACCCGAGGAGCCTGGCTCTGGGGTAAGCCTACGTGTGATCCTTCAGCTCGGGGCACAGGCATTGCAAAGGCTGTCCTGGGCAGATTTCACAGGGACGACGCACCCCAGGCCAGACTCAGAGCAAAGCCTGTGCGGGGCGGGCTTGGAGGAGCTGCAGTCAGGGACTCGTGCCCTGGGGTCCGTCACGCTCCTAGCATACCTGCCTTCCCAGCCCAGGGGTGCCCTCGCCTTAAGTCTCGTTATCTGAGGCCCTGGGCCCAGGTCCTCCAGATACTTCGGCTGTGCCCTCCTCGTGACAGACTCGGAGGATAACTTGAAGACACTCTCCCTCTGACTCAGTTCCCAGGGCTTTCCCACTTCAAGCCTTGCCCCACCCTCTCCCACCATAAAGGGGTCCATAAAACAGCCAGAGCCTTCTGTTCCAGGCTCCCTGAGAGGGAAAGGATCCCACATCTGTGCAGACCCACCAGGTTCTGGACCTGGGCGCCGTTCAGCGGGAGAAAAGAGAACAAGCGGGGTGGAGGGAGTCGGGGCTTCCCGGTGAGTGATTCCAGACTTCAGTGTCCACGGGGAGTCCCACCGGAACACTAGGGAGACCCCGAAGGCCATGTGGGTGGGGCCTATCCTTTCTTCTATCTTGAAGTCTGTGTCACGAGAACAAGACTTGTAAACAGGCATCTTCAGAACACAGTCTGCTACAGTGAGATGGGGAGTGATCGTGCACACCTTGGAGAGAAGCCTGCTGGTGCAACAAAGTGCTTAAGAGCACTGCTGTCTTAACTAATGACTTTGCTTTATAGGAAGACAGGACCCAGCCTGGGACACTAACCCAGCTTCAGAGAACATCCTCATACCTTAAGAATCCAAATCTGAGCCGGGCACCATGGCTCATGTCTGCAATCTTAGCTCTCTGGGAGGCGGGGGTGAGAGAATTGCTTGAGCCCAGGGGCTTGAGACCAGCTTGGGCAACATGGTGAGATCTTGTCTCCACAAAAAATAAAAATAAATTAGCCAGGAAAAAAAAAGGAGAAGAAGAAGATAGGGCCAAACTCCATGATCTCAGTGGTGTGCTAACTAGAGAATTATTATTATATTATTATTATTATTATTATTTTGAGTCAGAGTCTCACTGTCGCTCAGGTTGGAGTGCAGTGCTATGCTCAGAGTTCAAGGCCACCGCAGCCTCGACCTGCTAGGTTCAGGTGATCCTTCTGCCTCAGTCTTCCAAGTAGCTGGAACCACAGGCATGTGCCACCACGCCTGCTATTTTTTTTGATTTATTGTAGAGTTAAGGTCCTACCATGTTTCTCAGACTGGTCTCAAAACCCTGAGCTCTGGCAATCCTCTCTCACCTCTGCTTCCCAGAGTGCCGCATTTTCCCAAAGGGAGAAGGTCTTTAAAAATAAATTTTGTCTACTGTTTAAAATAAAGACGACCTCTAACAACGAGTGAGAGAGTAGCTAACACGGTTTCAAAGGAAACAGATGTCAAGGCAAAAGCGTTTTGTATATGTAAGTGTGGAACAATTTTATCCCTATGTGATTTTGTTGCCAAAATCATAGGTCAACTAAAAACATTTTTAAAAAAGTAAGTCTTCTTATCTTTCTCTTCAAAAAAAACTTGAAAATACAGTTTTTAGCCTGTTTTTGAATTCATTTGGTAGCATATAGTTAGCTATGCAAAACCAATAGTATCCAATTAGTTCACAAAACCAACTGGATACTATCAGTGAAAATAAGAAGCTAATAATTATATCAACAAAATAATATGTATAATTGGCAGACGGGATTGAAAAGGGGTCCTGGTATTATTTTAAGACTTCTGCCAAGCATCTGGCCTCTGAGAAGCATGATGTTCAACCAT